ATTGAGATCCTGGGTGCCTGAAAATGCCTTTATTTTACTCTCACTCTTGATTGATAGTTTGGCTGTGTGTAGGACCTGTAGTTGGAAATCATTTCTCTCCCACTATTCCATTGTCCTCCATGTGCCATTGTGTGGTGGCGGCAGGACATCTGCAGATACTCCTATTTCTAGTCTTCCTCTCCCTCTCAGCTTTGAGGACCTTCTCTTTGCCCCCAGGGTTCTGAATTCCACAGTAATATCTCCTGGTTGGATCTATTTTCACCCACTGTTTGGGGCACTTTGGGACTTTTCAATCTGTAAACTTATGTTCTGGAATGTAGCCTTGAATTGTTTCTTTGATGTTTTCTTCTCCTGCATTCCTTTTCTTTACTTTTCTTTTCTGGGTCTCATTATTTGGAAGATGGAAGTCCTAGGCCCTAGTCTTACTTCTGTCTTTTTTTAACTTCCACTAACTGATTTTCTTATCTTTTTGCTCATCTTTCTCAGAGAATTTATCAATTTTATCTTCCAGTCCATTTCTTTTTAAATTTTTTAAAATTTATATTTTTTATTGAAGTATAGTCAGTTTACAGTATTGTGTCAATTTCTGGTGTACAGCATAATGTTTCAGTCATACATATACATACGTATGTTTGTTTTCATTTTTTTTCATTATAGATTACTACAAGATCTTGAATATAGTTCCCTGTGCTATGCAGTATAAACTTTTCTTTACCTATTTTATATATAGTAGTTAGTATCTGAAAATCTCATTCCCTTCCCATGCCCTTTATCCCCTAGTAACCATGTTTGTTTTTTGTGTCTGTGAATCTGCTTCTGTTTTGTAAATAAGTTAATTTGTGTCTTATTTTTGATTCCACAGATAAGTGATATTATATGGTATTTTTCTTTCTCTTTCTGGCTTACTTCACTTAGAATGACAATCTCCATGTCCATCTACATTGCTTCAAATGGCATTATTTTACTCTTTTTTATGGCTGAATAGCATTCCATTGTATAAACATACCACAACTTCTTTATCCAGTCATCTTTTGATAGACATTTAGTTTGTTTCCATGTCTTGTCTATTGTAAATAGTGCTGCTGTGAATATTGGGGTGCAGGTGTCATTCGGAATTAGAGTTCCCTCCATATATATATGCCCAGGAGTAAAATTGCTGAATTATAGGGTAAGTCTATTTTTAGTTTTTTGAAGAATCTCCATACTGTTTTCCATGTAGTGTCTGCACCAAACTATTTCCCACCAGCAGTGCAGGAGGGTTCCCTTTTCTCCACACCCTCTCCAGCATTTATCGTTTGTGGACTTTTGAATAATGACCATTCTGACTGGTATGAGGTGATACTTCATTGTAGTTTTGATTTGCATTTCTCTGATAATTAACACCTGAAGTCATGAAACACCCAGGAAGTCTCTCAGGAGTTCCATGATGCTCCTTCTCCTGGGTGCTGTCTGAAGGAGGAAACCAGCTTTGGCTACTGTTGAGGTTGCAGAGAAATCCATCTCCATTTATGCTAAAGGTACAGAAGTAATAACAACCCAGAAGTTGGAAGATACTTTCACGGACAACTGTCTGCCTCTTTCCTTCATCTGAACCAACGTGAGGGTCCAGTTATTAGCTGTACACAGCTTACTTATCCTTAGGTTAATTTCCTTTTGCCTAAAATTTGGTTTTATTCCTTATCTCTACAGATTGTGCTCTGTGTTTAACATAAGCGAGAGGAATGGGGGGCATGGTTGGACCACACTTGGAGGGGAGCCCTGTGTATCTTCCTCCTTCCCAGCATTTGTTGAATTTTACAAATAATGACATTATGATTATTTGATTATCTGTTTCCCCCACTAGACTCAAGCTTCGTGTAGGTGGGAACCAACATGTTCCCAGACATAGCATCTTGCCAGCAAGGCACAGTGGTGGTTGAATGAGTAAAGGGAGGGTGAATTAACTGATGAGTGAAAGATTTATGTAACAAAGGGATGCTGGCTGCACAACTTCTTGTTGGATTGGTGAACAAGGAGAAAGCTGACCTTACCCAAGGCTTGGAGAACTTGCCCTACACAGCAGGTGAAGGGAACCTGCCATCTTGCGTGTCCCAGACTACACTCCTCATCTCCCCTCACCCAGAAAGCCCCCCTCCTCCTCTTCCTCCTTGGCCTCTTCCCAGTAATGGGCACAACCACCCCCTCAGTCTCTCAGTCAGAACTTATGCACCATCCTTGACACCAGTCTTGCCTGCGCCACCAAACCCAACCCATCCCCCAGCCAGTGGACTCTGCTCTGCCTCCCAGTAGCTCTGCAAGCTGCCTGCTCCTGCACATCCCACTGCCATCAGGGGCAGGGCACCAGCACCTCTTACCTGGGTTACTGACACCACCTGCCCAGTGATCTCACATTCCTCTTCTCCGGCCTCCTCCACTCACTCCTCCGTGGAAGTGTCTCGCCAACTTTAAAGTGCATACAGTTCACCCAAGGACCTTGTTAAAAGGCAGAGCCTGATTCAGTAGGTCAGGATCTGAGCTTCTGCATTTCCAACAAGCTCCCAGGTGAGGCCAACGCTGCTGGTCCATGGACTACACTTTGAGTAGTCAGATGTCATTACTAAAATGTAAATCTTGATACGTCATTCCTTCCTTAAAAGTCTTCAGTAGCTCCCTATTGCCCCTGAGACTTTATGCCATCAGTTTCCTGCCTTCTTGTCCAGTTCATTGGTCTGCATTCCCCATTGTGCTCACTGAAGTGTTCTCAGTTCCTCAGATTGCTCTGCTCTTCTGTGCGCCTACCCTGTTCCCTCTGTCTGAACGCCTTCCTACCTCTCAGCCCCCCTCCCTTAGATAATTCCCACTGGACTGTTGGGCTTCACTCAGCATCACCACCTCCAGACTGACTTCCCAGATCCCAGCCACTCACCCCGCACTGCCAGAGTCGGTTAAAAGACACCAAAGGAGCTTTCCCTGGAGCTGTCTCCTGCAGCCCTCACCACCTTGGGATGCACTGGTCTGTTTACGACCAAGACCTAGGAGGACAGCTTGGGGGCCGTGGAAGTCTATAGCTGCTTGCTGCATGAAGGGTGGATCACAGAGGGCCCCACCCCCTCTTCCAGTCCTTCAGATGACAGCTGTCTCTCCCAGTGGTTTCTAGGAGACACTGCTGTTGGGGGAGCTGCCCACTCCCAGCCTCCCTCTGGTTTATATTTCTTTGGGCTTAAGATCAACAATTGATTTGCTTTTTGTTTGTGGTAGAATCACTGGAATAGTGGAATTTGCAGCTCTTGCTGCCTTGTGGTCCCTACCATCCTGCATACCATCCATGGGACAGGTCTTCTCGAGTGAGGGCCCCCACTGTCTCCCCCTGAATTCTAATTTTCCACACCAGCATGGTGTTAATCGGCTGGCTGAAGTCGTTGCCCAGGGGCCTGTTGGGAGCGGAGGATACCAGGCTGGGTGAGTGAGAGGAGAAAGTGCTCCCATGGCCCCAGCCCTGACCCCTGAGGACCAGAGGCCATGCAAGGAACCCCAACTTTCCCAGAGCGATACGGAGCCATAGGGGCTGCTCCTGGAGTCGGTACCCAGACACCTGCTCGGCACACCTAGGGGGACCCTGTCGTCTCCTCTCCCCGTCTCTCCACCGCCAACCCAAACCACGGTGAAATCCCGAGGGGCTTTCAGGCTCTTCCAGCCCTGACATCGTTGTTGGCTGAGCTGCTGGAAAACCACATCCTGTGACCAGAGGCTGCATTAGAAAAGGAACAGGACCAACAGGCAGATGGTATGGACTCTAGTTCTAGATCTTCCATTTGCTACTTGCCTGGCCAGGGGCAGTCCTTCCACTTCTCCAGGTCTGTTTCTTCACAATGGGTTTGTGTCCCTTCCCTGTCAACCCACAGAGTTGTGGTGAAGGGTCCATGAGTTGGCAGAGGTGAGCGTGCTGTGATGCAGTGAGGGGTGCACAAAGGCAGGGGTAAATGGCTCTGTTAATGACAGTGTGGGCCAGGCTCTAGAGAAGGGAAAGCAGGAGATGCTGGCTTGACATCTCTTACTACCCACCTTGTGTTCCTTCCATAGCAATGCCCCTATAGATGGTCTAATCACAGAAGAAAAGGTGGGCGCTAGATTGCTGACCACACACCTGTAAGTTCATTTAATGCATTACCTCCCTGGGGCACTTTAATTTTTAATGAATGGAAGGAGGGAAACACAGAGAAAGGAACTGATTATGTGGAGAAGTAGGTGTGTGACCCATGTTAATGGGAATGTTCGGGGCAGGGAAGATTCCCTCACACCTCCCAGATGGCCCTACCCAGTCCTCAGGACCCCATCACCAGGGAAGGGAAGTGCTTCTGTGGGCGGAGCTCTAATGCCACGCCCCTTTCTCACCACACAGAATGGGCAGTTGAGAAGTTTGGTGGAAACCTAGAACTATGAGCTTGTGGACCATTAGGGGATTATGCCATGTGTTCTAAATGGCCTGCCATGTGAGGACAAGCCACAGATGCACTGTTACCACACTGTGGCCTTTTCTGGAATGCTGTCAGCCTCCTGCAGTCCTCCAGGACTGCCCAGAGTGGAGGAGAATGGTTGCCCCACAGCGGGACAGTGGCAGAGATGTCTCCTCCCCTCTCCAGCCCTAGCTGTCTCTCGCTGGCACTGTCTGAGTGCCCCCACCACCACCACCTCCCATTCTGAGTCTTTTCAGGAGCCACAGGGTCTCCACTCACACCCACCCACACTTGCCAGGCTCGCGGTGACCTGCCCTATCCCAAGCTCCAAGGACAGCAATACAGACTGGAGGATGGGACCATGACCTCAGAGAGTCACCAAACCTGGAAAAAGCACAGCTGGCCTTCCTTAAAGAAGCTGATTTTCCAAACCTCTCCTCAGGACTTTATTAGATCTTTTGAAGCCAGGAGACAAATAAGAGCATATTTCCTTCAGCACCTGGGGTCACCCTGGACTTGCGTCCCAATCCTGCAGAGTCTGAACCCCGTGGCCCACACCTCCTGTGCTCAGGCCCTGCCTCGGGAGGCGGCCGGTGACTGTGGCCCCCCATTGACGTTGTGGTGCCCGCCTTCCACCATCTGCTCCTCAGCAACGTGGCCGCCATCTTCCACCCAGAAGGCCTTCTCCTCCTCCCAGAGGGCATTCTCTTCCTCCCACAGGGACTTTTTATCCTCCCACAGGGCCTTCTCCTCCTCCAGAAGAGCTCTTTCCTCTACCCACAGGGCCTTTTCTTCCTCCCACAGGGCCTTGTCCTCCTGAAGAAGGTTCCGGTCTCTTTCCCATAAGGCATTGTCCTCTTTCCAGAAGACCTTATCTTCCTTCCAGAAGATTCGGTACTTCTTCCAAAAGGCTTTCTCTTCTTCGCGGAAAGATTTTTCCGTCTCCCAGAAGGCTTTTTCCTCTTTCCAGAAAGTTTTCTCCTCTTCCCAGAAAGGTCTCTCCTCTTCCCAAAAGCCCAAGATCTGGCACCTGAAGGCTTGGATCTTGCCTCGGAAATTCCACATCTCTTCCCTGAAGTCTTCTATTTTCTCACGAAAATGTTTCATCTCTTCCCGGAACGCCTTTTCTTCCTGCAGCTTGTGGATAAGTTTCTTCTGGCGAATGTTGGATGAGGAGACCACCAGAGACCGGAAGCAAGCCAGCCCCATCCATTTGCTCACCTTGAAGGGAAACATCATCCTAGTCAGCCAGGATGGCGGAGGGGCTGCGATGGAAGACAGGGCGCTGGCCAAGTGCAGGTCAGCTGGTCCAACCCTGTGGGGGCACCAGAGAGAACACGTCTGTGAATAGCATGTCCCAGAGGGCGAGCCCTGGAGTTGGCACCATTTAACTTGGGAAATTGTAACCATTGTTCTCTTTGTCCCCTTGGTGGTATTTGTGAGGGACGAGGTTTGGTAGAGAAAGGTGCTGGGTGGTCATCACTTTGGGCTGAAGAGGTGGTCAATACATTCATGCTCAAGGCTGCCAAAATAACAGACTATCAGCCAACAAGGGCAGTGGCTCTCAACGAGGGTGTCTGAACAGATGAGTGTGACGTGACCACTTGAGATGTGTCAGTAATGTTTTGCTTTGAAATAATCAAGTACACAGCCCCAAAGTGATGTGTGTTAAATCCACCAAAATACATTGAAAGTGTTGGCTCTCTCACTTGGGAATTGCTTATAACCTTCTGACGGGCGTGCTCCCAGCAGAGAACGTGTGCATGTCCTCTGTTAACAAGCCACATGGGAAACAGAAGACGAGACCCACTGAGTTGTTACGAACAGAGCGGCCTGAACATTCCTGTGCCTGTAACTTGGTCACAGTTCAAAAGTTTCCACCGGGTATGTATCTGGGAGTGTAAGCAATCCAATGACCACAACAATAGAACGGAATTAAAACGTGGGGGGTGTATTCGTGCAAGGACAGCATAACCACGTGGAAGAACGTGGGTGACTCTTGTAGACATAATGGTGAAAGAAAGAAGCAGGATCAATGAGTTCGAAAGAGAGAGTTCCAAAACAGGCAAAATGAAACTCTCTTGTTCAAGGAAATACACTTGGGTGAGAACACAAAAAAGACAAGCAAGTAAGTGAGTCCCATTAGGTCAAGAGAGTAATTACTTGTGTGTGAGGGAGGGGTGGGGAGGTAGGATATTAAAGGCTGTGATTCAGTGAGGACATGAGAGGGGCTTCCGAGGGGCGAGTAGGACTGTGTTGCTTTACTTGGTGGCAGTTGCATGTGTGTTCATTATAAAAATGTGCTAAGTTGGAAATGGATGTTTTATGTGCTCCAGTAAATGCATTGTGTTTCACAGTAAAATAAAAGCTAGGGAGAAAGATAGAAAGAAAGGAGAGAAGAAAGGGAGGAAGGAGGGAAGGAAGGAGGGGAAGGGGGGAGGGAGATTTCCAACCACTGCCATTATCTGAGGTATCAGATATCAGAACCATCCACAAAAGTTCCAGGAACAACAAAAGGTGGGTTAAGAGATGAGGAAGAATTCTGGAGGTGGGGCAGTGCATGGAAGACAAGGGGTACATAATACATATGCGTGGCAAGGGCATCAATTTGCACGTTGAGCTTTCTGGAAGCAGCTGCCAGGGTGTGGCCTCTCTCAGTGGGTCCCACCAAGTACCATGTCGTGGAGCACCTTCAGATTTCCTGGCTTTCTCCTTTTTCTACTTTCTGACTTGGGAGCCGGGAGTTGGGGAGAAGGAAGGACGCATAGCTGGGGGGGGGTGTGTGTGCGCACAGTGAAGACATGGGAGCTACGCTGTGGACAGCTGGTGGCATCACCATCCACCCAGTCACACAAGCCAGAAGCCTGGAGCTCAACCTTGACTCCTTCCTCAAAGACTTTCAATTAATGATCAAGTCCTCCCCCTTAGGATCTGTAACATTTCTTGAACCCACACCCTCTGCTCCATCTCCTTGACCACAGCCAGCTCAGGCCAGAATGACTGTAACAGCCTAACTGGTGGATAGTATTGATTTTGTCCATCCCTGCACTGTAGCCCCAGGGGTGGTTCTAAAACACTGCCTATCACATCCCACCTGCTCACAAACCTTCGAAAACCCCCTGGCCCAAAGGCCAAATCCAAACGTCTGACTGAGGCCCTCTGCAGCCTGACCCCTGCTTTCTCCCCCTTCACTTTCTACCCAGTGTCCACTCAGCTCTGAAGCTAAGCCTCAGTAGCTTCATTCTCTGGACACGACCTGCAGTTTGCAGCGTCTACACCAGGGAACATACTGTGTCCTCTGCTGAGATGACCTCCTCCTGTTGTGGGCTTGAACTCCTGCTCATCCCTTCCCCTCTGAAAGCTCCTGAGACCCTCCAGTCAAAGTTTATCACCACCTCCTTGATGCTACCTGTCCCTGCATACTCTGACGTTTACTTGTCACACTTCATTGAAATCAGATGTGGACCCGCCTTGCTGCTGTTAGACGCCCAGTAACCCAGCATCTAATACAAAGCTGTGCATATCCGGGGTCATTGGCAAAAATGTTGGTTGACGTAAACTGAGTTTTGTTGAGTTTTGCAACTTCGACTACTCACAGTGTAGTGTGGTTGTCTTGTTCCTACTATTTATGTGACTGTTGGTATCTTGAGGTGGGAGAAAGCACCTCCTTCAAGTCCTTACATTTCTTTCTGCTGTGAGAACACACTCAGGTGTTTGCTGAAGTGGGTTAGGTAGCTGTGAACAAAGCCTCAGGGTCAACTAGAGTTGTCAGATAGCCGTCAGCGACAGCCAGCCCTCTAACTATAATTCGTAATAACAATTCCTACCTGCACATTTATTCAGCCCTTTAATGTAGGGCACTTTACCTGTGTGACCTGCTTAATCCCTTCACACTGTAAGATAGGTACCTTGTGGGGTAAGTGCCCCGATCAACCCCATTTTATTACATGAATAAGTTAAAGACCTATTTTTTAAAAAGACACAAATGAACTTATTTACAAAATTAGAACCGTAGACATAGAAAACAAACTTATGGTTACCAGAGGGGAAGGAGGTGGGGAGGGATAAATTGGGAGTTCAAGATTTATAGATCCTAACTACTGTATATAAAATAGATAAACAGCAAGGTCCTACTGTATAGCACAGGGAACTATATTCAATATCTTGTAATAGCCTATAATTAAAAAGAATATGAATAGGAATTATATATATGGTTAACTGAATCACTATGCTGTACACTAGAAATTAACTCAACGTTGTGTTAATTTCTACTGCAATTAAAAAAAAACCCTATAAAAATATCTAAGTAGATTAAGTCAAGACTTGGAAAGGCAAAGGTCATGTTTAGAAGTATGTTGTGCAGTCAAGCAATGCTACTTGTGAACACCGTCAGGCTGATGTTTTCACTGTGAGTGTGTGTGTGTGTGTGTGTCTAAGAGGGAGAATCTGCATCAAGCACTGGACTGATTGAGAACGTTAGCAACTCGGTCACTCATTTGAAATGAAACCTCTCCTCTCCTCATACACCCCTCCTGCTGGAGGAAACTGTACAGACACTTACACTAAAAAGCAATTTAAAAACACTGAATGTTATCACTAAAGATAATAACTATGTATTTTCAACAAACAACAAAATACGGTTCCTGAAAGTTCCCCTTTCATGTGTGAGACCTGTCTGTCCCCAGTGTGTCCCCTGCACAATAAGGAAACGTTTGTGCAGGCTTCTGACTTTCTCCTGCAGTGGTTCCTGGACATACCCCAACGCCCAAAGTGACCACCTTCCAAATTATGCTGAAGCTTTATTTCTTACGCCGTTAGCACGCTTGCTCTAACTAGGGAACTCAGTGAGTTCCCTTTTCCTTTCGCCACAGATGCCAACCATCGCCCAGTTCTACGTTTCACCCTGTCCAGGTTTCTCTGGCCTTTTGTGGCCTCACATTTTCCGCAGGTCTAACACCGATTGTCACCTCGGGCGGGCTTTCTTTTTAGGGCTGCTCCCTGCAAAGGAACAGCGCGTGTCTGCATTTATCAAGAAGAGAGCTGAGTGGAGAAGTCAATTCAGGGCCGCTAGCTCAGGCCATGGAGCCCCTTGAGAACAGGACAGACTACAAGCTGTGGGTCAGTTAGCACTCAGATCTCAGCGTATACAGTTTCTCCCTTGGATCTAACTCCCCGCTTAGGCAACAGTAGGAGAAATCTGCTTATGACACTTGCTGAATAAATATATCATAGAAATACACAAATTATGAGTCAAGTATAGAGGGACAGCCCTTTCCTCAGAGAATCTTCGTTCCTACTTGGGGAGAAAACAGAACAAGCAAGAACATCCTCAGCTTCCAGCTCACCCAGCTGACACCCACATCCATCTCTAATGCTCTCCTCTGGGCTCCTGGCCAAGACCAGGCCTCCTCCCGTCTCCTCCCCGCTTCAGGGTGACCTTGTTTCCTCCGTGGTCCCTCACTCACGGGTCTCCCCCCTCCTCCCTCTGCTCATTCTCAGCTCTCAGCACTCAGGCATGCTCAGGTCTCTCTCATCCTAAAACCAACCAACCCAAAACAGAATCCTCTAACTCCCTCTACTAGCTGCTTGCTAGCCCTCTTCTCCTTAAACAGACTTCTTAGAAGAGCAGCCTACAATCCGAGCACGATTCCTGGGTTGCATCTGCACCCTCATCCTACAGCAACTCCCCCAACTTCCCTGAAACCTGCTGAGATCACCACTGACCTGCTAGCTGTTTAGTCCTTATCCTACTGACCTCTCGGCAGCATCTGGCATGAATCCCTCTTGACACCTACAACACCAGGCCATTCTGTTCTCCTCCTGCCTCCCTGATGGTTCTTTCCCAGTCTCTTTGTGGACTCCTTTTCCCAATAGAGTATACTTTATCCCAGAGCTCCTATGAGGAATAAATTGGGTATGTTGAGTGCCTAGCACAGTGCCTGGCACACAGCAAGTGCTCAATAAATAGGAATAATTCCATTTTGTGTCATTTTCAGTCTCCTGTAAGTGCACGCCAGGACAATCACAACCTGCCCCTACAAACCATTTTAGCCGTCTCCCCTGATGCCTTAAACTCTGGCCACCTGGGATTCCTCAAACGTGCCAAGTTTTCCTCAATTCCATGCCATGCTGTTCTCTCTCTCCGGCTAGTCTTGCTTAAGTCCACTTCCTCCAGTTAATGCGTCAAGACTCAGATAAGGAGTTCCCCTCTCCAAGGCAGCTTCTCCTGAAACTCC